TGGGGCACTTTCGTTTTCGGCGCCGAGCCCCAAGTGTGTCCGAGGGCACCAAAACCACATCACCCAGTGCCAGGGCCAGATGCTTCTTGGACACCTCCAGGGATGGCAATTCCACCACCTCCCTGAGCAGCCTACAACAGCTTCATTTCCTCAGCCTAGGATGAGCCCTGCTTTCCGCTGTGGTGAAAGCATCCGTCCTCAGATTTACGTGAACCCTTCCCCGGGTGATAAGACAATTAGATCTCTTGTAAAATCAAGGCGTTAATTTAAAAAATGCAGAAGATACTTCATAATTTAATACCTCTGAGCCAATTAAAAAGTTGCAGAGGAGAAGAATATCAAATTCCACATCCTCCACAAACTGTCATTACAAGGACTAAACTTCTCATTTGCTGTTTCATTTGCCACTAACGCTACCTCTCGTAACATTCATTAATAAACATATTAGGAAGCCAAAAATAAGGTAATATATGCATAGAGAAATCATATAAAAGTATCATGACAATGCAAGACCTTTGTTAAAACCAGGCAACATTTAGCACAGACATTCCCACACTATCCACAGGAAAGATCCCAAAGCTGCCACTAGAACAATGACAAATACATGGTATGAGGAGACAGTCACAGATCCAGTGTAAGAAAATCTAGAGTTGGGAAGGAATAGGACAGGAGACAGCTGATTGAAAAAAAGAGTAGAAAAACCCAGGTGTGCATAAGAAAAGAAACAGAAACCCACACAATAAAGGCTTCTATACTGAAAAAGCATCATTTACTAGTGACATGAAGGGGCTTTAAAAAAAAGTTGCAGTCCACAAAAATTGATTTAGACACAGACCTGGAAGAATCTTCAAAAAGTCATATACCTAAAAGAGCAAACCTGATATGCTCTGAATTTGGCAGGTGGTGTTTTCCTTTTGTGGCCACTAAGCAGCACTGCTGGGTCACTAACACTGTGGGACTCCGAGGCTGTAGGGTTTTGTCCATCAGAGAGACCACAGTGCTCAGGAAGCTGATCCAATGATCCTAGGGAGCAATACTGAAGCAATACAACCACTCCAGAGGCTGGTGGAGAGTACCTGTTGTAAGCAGAACACAGACTTTAAGATCTGGCTCATGCTGTCTCGAAAACATATTTCTAACAGATTTTGTTAGAATTTTGAGCTCAAGAAATGTCCTAACAAAAACACTTGCCAGAGAGGAGAGAAGCTGTAAGGTCTACTTTATATTTCTGCTGTTGTGAGTAGACCTCCTCTCACTGTAAACAAATTTCAGAACCACTGAACTAAGTAAGACCTTTTCCAGAGCAGGAGGTTGCTCAGTAAAGAGTGAGCAAGTGTGAATTTGGGTGCCATGAGCCAGAAGATGTGATGCAACTGCAATGAAATGCAGTGCTTGCCTGCAATCCTGTATGCCATAGACACAGGAAAACAGAGGTTATCTGAAACCTTTGCTTTTTGCTGAGTTTGATCTCCCTGTGCAGTCTTGCTCCATCTGTGCTCATCCTCATCTTCACTTACCAGGACATGAGAAGAAATGCCAATTATTTGTGCAATCATTCTTGATACATGAGGCTATTACCTTAGCTCATGAAATTGCATGTTAGCATTGGGACAAACTAGGTTTGTGTCTTTCCACAAGACAAGGGATTGCAGCACTAACTCATATTATAAACCCTTTTAAAAAAGTTATTCCTAATTTATTGACCACTCAGTCCTTCAAAATACCATTTTCCAAGAAAATTATTTCAGTGTTCAAAAAAAGCACAGTCTGTGTTGCTTCTGTAATAAGCAGCTATTGTGTGATTCTAATTCAAAATGCATTTCTTTGTCTTTCAGGATGAGAAGGCCTAGGGAGAGGTATACATTTTTTTCCTTCTGCAGTAAGAAATCAGTTAAGCAATTGTCTTCTAAAATGTTGCTTCAGGAACATACAGGTAAAAGATGGTGAATCTTTGATGACGGATGTTTGTCTAAACACAATACTTAGAACTAAATGCTTGGAATGTGTGTCTTTTGCTTTCTCTAATGACTCAAATTCAATCCCTTTGACCTCCATCCTTTTTGAGGAAAAACAACTGTTCTAGGAAAACCAGTGTAACTTAACTTTGTAGCATCACATAAGCAGAAGAACTTGGCCAGGAATGAGGAAGTAAAGGATAAGATGAACCTTATTTTTCCTCTCTTAATTATGGTGCCTTGCAGATAAGTGATCATGTACATAGAGCCAAGAACTCTTCTACCAGGTACTGATTTAATGACTTTGCAACCTATGGAGTCTCAAGGTTGTCTGTAAGTGTAAGTTTACATTTTATTCTACACAAATGTGAGGGGTTTTATTGTGAACATTTACAGGGAGTCTGTCCTTTTAGGCAAATGCATAGGTTTATAGGTTGTGGAGTTTTTGTCAATTACAAGAGTGATTTTTCATTTCCTTTGCAGTAACATAATGGCAGTTAATTATGACAGAACTTTTTGTCACTACTGCTGTAAATTGTGATCCTGCCTCCTCCACTTTTATGAGCCAGCTCCTTTCTATTTGTCAGCAGCAGTTGCTTTAGAGCACCCTAAAAGTTGGTGGCCAGACCTGAAAGAATGTTGACTACATTGCTGATTTTCTGAAAAAGAAATGTTGGAAGACTATTTTAACTGTGGTTTAGTCCTAGGGCAGGAACAAACTCCAGCAGTACCCACTGGCTAACTTGGGGTGGAGTTTGCT